TTTTAGGGATTGCTTTCATTTCTTTTGTTCTTAAAGAAAAAGGCATAAGTGAAATCAGAATGCAAAAGAAGATACGAAAAAGATTTTTTCTTATTCTCAAAACAAATTTAAAACAAATCTTCATTAATGTCTTTCAAAAGGATATATTTCATGAGGTCATATTACCAGAGCAAAGAAAGAATTGCTTTATGTACAACTGTTAAAAAAATTAAGGTCCTGTGTAGAAGACAACATAAATAGAATGTTCTCAGCAGTTTATACACTGCCATGCTGCTTGATGGATAATCCAGAAATTATACCAACTCCAGAGGAACACTGCACTGTTATACAAACATATTTTCCATGACTATTTCATAGTTCCCTAAAATTCCACAAAGCATAAAATGGCATGATCAACTTTGAATTATATTGTTTTCAAATGCCTATTAACATTTTCACCTATAGCCCTTATTTAACAACCTTCTTTTTTTTTTTTTTTTTAGGCAATTGGAGTTAAGTGACTTGCCCAGGGTCACACAGCTAGTGAGTGTCAAGTGTTCGGTCTGAGGCCACATTTGAACTCAGGTCCTCCTGACTTCAGGGTTGGTGCTCCATCCACTGTGCCACCTAGCTGCCCCCTTAACTCCCTTCTTGATACAGTCAATGATCTCCATATTCAGTCAAGCACAGTGTTCTAGTCCCAGAGGGAGTGGAACAAAGAATGAAAAACCTGGGTTCTAATCCTGCCTTTGCCGCTACTAATTAGCTGGGTGACCCTGAAGAAGTTACTTAATGTTGCTGAGTGCCTCTGTCTTCTCATCTGTAAAACAAGGATAATAACATCCAACCAATTTATCCCACACAGTTTTCATGAAGTTAACTGAAACAACATATTAGGAAGTATTTGGAGGAAAAACGATGTACAAGTGCAAAATCTCATAGTTATTATTCAGCCAGCTTCTACCCACCACCTTAGACAGTTCTTCATATAGCCTGAATTTCTAAAACCTTCAGCATTCTCAGAGGACCTACCTCTAGTTAATAGGAAAATCCTTAAGTACTATACCCTTTCCAGGTTTCTTCTGTTTCCTTTCCTTAATATATAAGCTCAAGCTAGATGCAGACCCAAGAGTGGGGATGGCTGAGGGAGAGAGAAAGCAGATACATTTGTATCTTCTTATTTTTTCTGTTTCTATCCTCTCATCCTATTCCAGGAGACCCACATGGGAATGTGTAGGACCTCTTTCTAGGCACCCCCTACTCCTAGAAGAGAATGGACAGATGTCACGTTAGAAGGGATGTCTAATCCAACCCACATGATTAAAACTGAGACTTAGAGTGGTTGTTAAGTGATTTGCCCACACTCCTAACTGCTAGTAACTACCAGAGGCAAGATGTGAACCTCTTTGGTGACTCCAGAGCCAGTGCTTGTTTTATCATCAGAGAGACACTGGGCTCAAGTGGAAAGGTAAGACCTAAGAGATTAGGCTGAAATGAAGGAAGAGGGGGTTTTCCACTTTCTTCAGTTAATAAAGAAGAAATACATAACTTTAGTTCATCAGATATATCAAGAACCATTATCCAAGCGCCATTAACCATTCTCCATCTCTATTAAGGAAAAAAGAACAAAGAAGAAGGCATGGCAGAAATCATGCTTAAGGGAATAATGTCTTAAGTTCATAGGATCACAGAGTTAAAGCCAGAAAGGAGGTACCTTAGACCAATCCCTTCAACTTATAAAGGAGGAGTCAGAGACTCAGAGATGTCAGGTGATTTGCCAAGGGCCACATAAGTAGCAAATGAGAGAGGCAAGCTTTGAACTGTGGATTTTTTATTCCATATCTAATGTTCTTTCCACTGTACTATGCTGTTGTTCACCCTTCGTTTTCAAAGAGGACCAATGACATCAGGAGGGTGATGTCTTGACTTGCAAGTGAATTGGATTTAAGCGAGGCAGGGCTGTGCAAAGTGATCAACCTAATTCTCTCCTCCAAAGTCATCAGAGCTTAATGGCAAGACATAGGTCAAGACAACTGGCAATGGCCCTGGATGCAATGGGAGACCTTGGCCTTTTTAAGATAAGGTCTTTCCCCGGGTCTCACTTTCTGTACTATACTATAAAGCTTGGAAAAGAGTCATGGAGAAGCTATAGGCACTTTTCCCTGTAAGAACAGGATTTATTCTCAACCACCTGGGCTGAGTTTGGGTCTAGTCTTACCAGAAGGTATAGGAAAAAAACTAGATGACCTCTGGACTTTTTTCATTGGTGTTCTTCTAAAAGGCAGCTTTTCTTATATAATGTTCATTTAAAAAAAAAAAACAAGAGCAAAGAGGATTAAGAAAGATGCAAACATTGTTTTTTGGAAATTATCTTTGCATCAGAAGAGAAGATATTCTACACAGAAATCATTTGTTACACTAAGCAACAAGGGCCACTAGTTTTAGTAGTCTCATGCTGACTACACTTTCATTTTATCATGAGACTGCTGTTCAGTATATAGTGTATCATTATGTGTCAAAGCAGGAGCTGAAATCCAATTAATTATATAGTCTGCGCTTGTATTACCCAAAGACTAATATAATATTCCTTTTCCCAATACTAGGGTTCTCTCTCACAATGCCACCACTTTGCATTCATAAAAAGCCCAATAAAACATTTTAACATGTAATGGGAGCCAGCCCACCAAAGCATTAAATGGCTTACAAAGATTATCATTGTTACTGACTGTTAGGGAAGATCTTGTTTAATTAAATGTTTTAACTGTCAGGGAAAACTAACTGCAGTTTTTCTCAAAATGTAAGGCTTTGCCTAAAAGTTGAAATCAAAACAAATTGTATCTATCATCAGAGGTTCTCGGATATTGAAAATTACCTTTTTAAAAAAAAATCTAGGGGCAGCTAGGTGATGCAGTGGATAGAGCACTGGCCTTGGAGTCAGGAGGACCTGAGTTCAAATCCGACCTCAGACATTTGACACTTACTAGCTGCGTGACCCTGGGCATGTCACTTAACCCCATTGCCTAGCCAAAATAAACTCAATAAAAAAAAATCTAAAGCTCTCTCCAGTTTTTAAAGACAAGTGGAAGACTATTAACAGCAGTATTTCCTAAAATGAATATTAGGAGGTAAGGAGGACAGGAAGGCATTTAGCCTCCCCAGCAGTCATATGGTGGGAAGAAATAAATTATTCAATCAACAAGCATCTACTTAGTAGCTACTACATTCATGTACTGTCCTAGGTAGTGGACATTTCTGAGGCTCAGGTATCCTCAAGCACTTCAAAGTTACCTAGGTAGCACAGTGAATAGAGTTTTGGACTTGAAGTGAGGAAGACCTGAATTCAAATACTGAGACACTTACTTAGCTAAGTTTCCCAGGGCAAATTACTTAACCCTTGGTCTATCTCAGTCTCTTCATCTGCAAAATGGGGATAATAACAGCACCTGCCTCACAAAGTTTCAAGAATCAAATTAAATATTTGTAAAGAACTTTGAAAAATTTAAAGTGCTGTCAATGTAGATTAGCACCTTCTCTTAAATTTAGAGTCTGAGAAAGTTGCCTAGGACCCTGAGGTTAAATGACTTGCCCAGAGTCACCCAACTAGAAAGTGTCAGAGGCAAGACTTGGAGCTAGGTGTTCCTAAATGCAAAGTTGGTTCTCTATCCATGGATATTATTATGATACTACTATTCCTCTTCTTCTAGAGGATTTATGACTGTCACCAATCTCTAAGGATTCTTTCTGTCTTCCTGCCTAGGGTCTGCAATGATAATTCAGCTTTTCTTTCTCCCTCCATTGTCTTCATCTACCCATAATCCAAAACCATGGTTCTCACTGGAAAGCAAGGAAATTAAATAGACCTGACTGCAGCTCAATATTGTCTTGTCCTCCTTCAGAATAGTGTAAGAAACAAGTATTAGACTTGGAGCCTGAAGAATTATTTTGGACTTGAACTGGAATCAGCAGACCTGGTCTTGAACTTTCTAGGTATAGCTTGGGGAAGTCTCTTGGGTTTTTTTTTTGTTTTATTTTTTTTGGTGAGGCAATTGGGGTTAAGTGGCTTGCCCAGAATCATACAGCTAGTAAGTGTAATGCGTCTGAGGTCATATTTGAACTGAGGTCCTCTTGACTCCAGGGTTGGTGTTCTATCCACTGCATCACCTAGCTGCCCCATTGGGGAAGTCTCTTCATCCCTTTAGCTTCAGTTTCCTCAATGGTTAAAAACTAGAAAAAGAGGATAATAATACTTACACCACTGATCTCACTAGGTGCCTAAAATGAGTATAAATGTAAGTTGTTATGTTCCATTCTTAGGGACATTCTTTTATCTAAACTTTTTTTGATTCCCCCCCCCCAGGGCTTAGCCTTATGCTATGGTAATAAGAATTTAAGAAAAATAGGAAAAAAAGAAGGAAGGAAAGAAAGAGAAAAAAAAGAAGAGAAAAGAAAATTAAAGAAGAAACAAGACCACCAGATCTTTTCTTTAACAACACCAGATGGTGAGGGCGAGTCCCAAGAATGTTCAAGATGTTGATTTAAACATCCCTTCTCCAGGGTAGCAACAGAAAAAGCCTCACACCCCAACCCATGCCTACTTCCCTGCCTCAAATCAGTCAGTCCAAGAATCACTGGACTGGATCAAGCATTGAGTGGGGTGATAGAGGAAGCAAAGTTAGTTCAGTAAGTGAGAGACAAGGCACCTCTGTATTCCTCTTTTTGCAGAAGGAGGAAAAAAGGCCAAACTGTTCTGAGATTCTCCACAATCCCCGCTCTGTTTCTGAGGGGCGGAAATACCAGCACAAGCTAAGTCCACTTTCCAGGGATGCTCAATTTTCCCCACACTCTATGCCCAACACTGTCAAAAAGCCTTCTGCAACATAGCCAACTAAAACTAGGCACAAGATGATATTCAAAGCCTCTCCATTAATTAGCTCTCAGCCTTCCCACTTCGTTCAACCTCCAACCCAACTCCAGTTCACCTTTCTGCAAGTTCTACCCCAAGTCAATAATTATGTACTCACATCTGCTCCTGGTGTGCCAGGTAAACCTGGAGCTCCTGGTTTTCCTGGGTCTCCAGTGGGACCCTGAGGGGGTGAAGGGAAGGAAGAAGGAAAGAGAGATTCTCAAGATGAGGCACTTTTCAAAACAGCAGGGCTTCAAGGCATTTTTAAAAGAAAGAGAAGAGGCAGTGATTAAGGCCATTCACTTACCGGGGGGCCTGGGGGACCCTTCGGCCCTCGATCTCCCTAGAGCAAGAGAAGAAAAGGAGAGAGGCTTCAGTGAGTGACCTGGGGCACTGTCCAAATCCAGACTGCACACAATTTCAAGGAAACAGGTTGTACAGGGACATGGAGTGGGAAAAGATAATGCAGATGGAATGCAGTACAAATAAGACTAGGGAAGGAGGAATGTGACACCTTCTCCCATAGAAATACCCCTGTGAGGCAGAAATTTATCCATCACCACCAGCAGCCCCAAAGTATATACACACAAGAGGGCGCACGGAACAAACTTTCCTCTTTGTGCTGTGAGTACCAGCAGACCAGTATTTTAGTATTGCGGCTAGTTATTTCTTACTGATGGATCACGAATAGAACCAGGGTGATGGGAGGCGGGGGCAATTTTGGTTTCGGTTGGTTTGGAAAGTTTAGGGATAACAACTCATGGACCCATGCTACAGCTTCCTGTGGACAGCCTTCCAGTTGCAGGATCCTCGGGGAGATGATCAGGGAAGGGAAGAACCAAGGAAGGGAGGCCGAGAGACCTAACCCACCCCAGAGAAAACACTTACATCAATACCATCAATGCCCGGAACTCCTGGGGGACCGGGAGGCCCAGGAGGCCCCTGGGGACCTGGCGGACCTCTCTAGTGAAGGAGAACACACAAAGAACAATTTAGAGGATTGAGAACCTTCATCCATACTCCGACCTCCACCTTCCCACTTGTCTCCCAATCAGGCCAGCCCAACTTGAAGCCCACAGGAGTCTTTGAGTCCTAAAGCAAACCCTGAGCTCCAGGACAGCTGAGCACTCAGCTTCTTATAGGTTACCTGACAGGTTATATTCACCACTTTTTAAAAGCAACATTCTGGGTGGGGTCTCTACCTAGTTGAGTCTTCCACTGCTTTAGCAAGTGATCTGGATTCAGGATAAATGAGTCTAGAGTTACCACCTAAGAGTTGTGTATTGAATGAAAGTGTAATGAGTCCTACCTCTTTTAAATGGTCTTCAAATGAAAAAGGAAGGGCTCACTTGATATCTCACTTTAGTCAAAAACTGATTTTCTATTTTAGTTAAAATTCTCCGACCATATTCTTAAAAAATCTCCAAAATAAAGACAAAAGCTCAGATTAACCTATAACTTTGTTTTGCAAACTGAATTTATTTTAATCTCTTTCTTTGATATACAGCATAGAAAGGGGGAAGAAACTATTGCCCATAGAAAGATAAAGTTAAGGGAGTAAGCTAGGAAACGCAGTCTCCAGGGAACTTGGAAAAATTCTGCCTTGCAGAAAACTCCTGCCTTGAAAACTGTGTTCGGCTTCACAGTGGAGTGGTCCCTTTATATCTAGCAAAACAAGGTTAGCTTATATAGGAAATATTTACATATGTAGCTATAAAGTAGAAATATTAAGAGTACGGGGAGGGAGGAGTTTTTTACTGTGATTAATAAAAACCTCTTGGTCAAAGCAAATTCTATTTACATGATTTCAGAGCTCCATCTGCCAGGCAGGTTACAATGGGAGCTTTGTAAGTGAAACTTCAAACCTCCATTACCCTCACTCACCCCCATCCCCCATACCCACTAGAAGAGGAGGGAGCAGACAGTTAGACTAGGGCTAGAGTCTGCAGGAAGGTGCCTTTAAGACTTGGCTGCCCAGTGTCAATCCTAGATCTTTCAAAGCTCCCTCTCTTACCTCTTACCTTGGACTAGAAGGAGGAGGCTCTAACCTCAGTTCTTTTTTTAGAGCCAGATGTCCTACATTTGCACTTAGGGAATCTGCCTCATAACTCTGATGAGCTTTAACATAATTTAAAATTAAAAAACAACAATAACTATGCACCCATCCAATATCACCAACTTCTTTCCTGAGCATCTAGGGTTTCCTGTGAGGGCTATCTGCCTGACTTTCAGCTGGCTCAGAGGGGATCGAGTCCTCCCCTGCCCTAGCACAAACCTCAAATGCTATAGGACTAATGCCTGCAGGAAAAGAGGAAATGATCCCTAGCCTTGGACTGACTGTGATGGACATTCTCTGATACTCTTCTCCATTTTGCATGTATCAGGGCTCATTAGGTCTTCTAGAATACCTTCCTTTTAATTTTTTAGTTTTGAAAGCAGAACAAAAGAAAACAATACTCACATGCCCAGTGACCAAACTTACCTCCCCGTTGCTCAGGCTTGGCTGCAGAAGAAAGATATGAGAAAGTAAGAAATTTATTACGCAAATCACACAAGAACTTACTTGAGCCACGCACAAGCAAAGAAAGTGCAGAAAGACCCAAAAACGGAAGGGCCCTCGGTTCTGGGCAGCAATAGCCATGTTCACCAACTCTCTGTCTAATCCACGAGCTACACTGTCCTCCCTGTTGCCCCTGCTGGATTTTTAGACCCACAAGACACATAAAGTGACCTCCATCAGCACCTTAACTCGACACCCCCACCCACAGGTCTGCAAAGCAAAAGCCCTGGGACACCAACAGCAAAGGTAAACCAGCAGCTGGAGGCGTCTATTTCTTCTGTTTATGAATGGTCCTGAAGGAGGGTCACCAGGATTGGAGGAAACGTGGAGGCTGGGTCAAGGCAGGATAGAATGACAACAGTCCCCTTTAACCCTTTCTGCAGAGGCAGCCTCAGGTTGGAGCAACTCCATAAATGGCCCTCCCAGTCTTGGCTTCTATGTCCTCACCACAGCTGCCCTAGGCATTCAGTTTCACCTTCAACTTTACTGAGAATGACAAGTGAAGCCTACCAGGGATAAGCTTTAACCAAAAAAAAGTGGCACACAGGGAATATTCTGTGCATTTGGACAGATGTGCTGGGCATTCAGAAGAAAACACCAAAATGCCAGCCAGAGGTTATGTCAAAGTGGTTCCTGAAAGACAAGCTGAGGGTTGGGGTTTGAGCTTTCTGTATGAGCTTAAGTGGATCAGGTGGATAAAGATATGTAGCTAACTCCTTAAGGGAGGGCAGCAACTAGAAAGGTAAAGAAGGGGATGGAAGAGGATAGTGCCCTAGCTTTACCCGGACTGGAAGTTCATGACAAGTTTCTCTTCTAGGTCTCAGAGGGTCACAATGAATCAGCAACCACTGGAGTTCAAACTAGAGAAAAACAAAACGAAGTTCAGCTCTTTTTTGAACAGAAATATGCATGCATGAACATCACTAAAACCCTGTTATGATCATTGTTTGGCTTAAAGCTCAGCTCCCAACAGGCCACCTCCTATGTGAAGCCACCCTTGAGCTCCTAGGTCCTCCCCATTAAATTTTGTCTTTGTTTATTTGTGTATAGAGTTAGATGTGTATGTGTTGATTCCTGTATAGAAAGTACAGTCTTTGAGGGCAGGGACTGTTTTCACTTTTGTTTCTGCATCCAGCAGTTACTATGGCTGACACATAGTAGGTACTTGTAAAATGCTAGTTAGTTAACTGATTATATCTCCAGGACCTACAGCAGCATTGATAAATACTTGCTAAGTAATTATAATGCTTATTATCACTCAGAGGCAACCCTGGGTTGTCAAAGACTATGCCAGCACAAAACATCTTTGGCAGGTCCTACCTAAGTGGAAAGACTATAGACCTAGAAAGACACTGTGAAGACCAGTCCAGGTACAGTTATCCCTTCCACATCAGACTTTCTCCATCATGGTTTTGATATATCCCAGGTCGGCATAGGAAATTAAGTGGGAATTTGGAAGGAGTTTTGCAGAAGCCGCAGACAATGAGAAGGCCAGCAGACAATGCAGAAAAGGTTTGGAAACTCAGAAATGCATAAATATATGTATAGTATTGTATGATATCAATATATTTTATCTTTTAATACCATAATAATTCAGATTTCTTCTCTGGTACAAAAGGAGGGCCAAAAAATTTTGCATGGATTTTCCAGATCATGGGGGCCCTGCATCCCTACCCCCCCTCAATGGGGAAGGGATAACTGTAAATTCATTGAGGATCAGCAACTGAAGGTCAGTCACCATGTGATGAATGTGGAGTCAGGAAGACCTGAGTTCAAATCCAGCCTCAGACATTTACTAGCTGTGTGACTCTGGGCAATAGTAATTATTAATGAAGGGGCATGATCTTTATTGGGGGAGGAAGTACACAGAGATGAAATTCTGTAATGAAATTAATGAAACTGAAGTAAAGATACAGCTTGTATCATTAAATTAGGGTCAAGTGATATAATGGAGAGGCCATTATGTAAAGTAGCACAAAAGCTATTTAGGTGATTGTAGAGTACCTTGACCCAGGCAAATTGGGTAGTATAGAGTGGAGGTATCAAATTCAAATAGAAATGGGGGTCATACATAAGGATCCCTGCAGGCCTCATATTGACTTAGAAGAACACATATTAATACTATCCATGTTTCAATGTATTTTTATTTGCTTTGTTAAATATTTCACAATTACATTTTAATCTAGTTGTGGCCCCATTGAAGGGTGAGTTTGACATCTCTGGTATAGAGCATGTGCTTTTCTTTGAATGTAACTTTCTGGTAGAAAAGACTAGAAAAAAACTTACCCTTTCCACAGATGCAAATAAAACTTCTCTGTCCAAGGACTCCAAAATTCTGGGTACCTTAATGGCATACGATAACTAAATGGCTACCATAAAGACCTGCCAAAGAGGCACAGAGAGCTACATCCCAGCCCTGCTCCCCTCAAACAAGGCAGGAAAGAACACCTGTATCTGGTGGATGTTCCTGGTCTCTGTGAAGATGGAAAAAGATCACAAACAGCAATGCCAAGAGAGGTGGCAACAGATAGGGTGAGTAAAACAGAAGAAATCTAGGTGCCAAGAGAAATTTAGAGTATTGGAGAAGAGAGAAATGCTGGAATGATGACACCTGTAGTAGGGTAGAGTTGGAAAGAGTAAGGCCTGGTGGGCTGTGAGATGTAGAGTCAGGAAAAAAATGAAAAAGAAAAAAGGAAGATTGAACAGAGTGTAATCTCATCCAGCTGGTGAAAGATTTTTTTTTCAAAAGATTAAGGACTAGTGATACAAAAGGTAGAAGCAGCTAGACGGTTCAGAGGATAGAGTTCCAGGTCTAAAGTCAGGAAGACCTAAGTTCAAATCCAGCCTCAGACACTAGCTGTGTGACCCTGGACAAATCACTTAACCTTTATTTACCTTAATCTACTGGAGAAGGAAATGGCAAATCAATCCAGTAACTTTGCCAAGAAAATCCCATGGACCTGTTCTATGGTCTATGGGATCACAAAGAATCAGACATAACTAAATAACAACAACACCCCATCCTCCCCTCTAACACACACATACCAAGTTGTTAGTTTAGTCTTACTCCTAAAATTACTTTTTTATCACTTTGTATAGATTTTGCCTTTATTAATTCATTTATTTCTGTACATACTGTCGCATCTCTTCTCACTCCCTGACCTGATCCCCAAAAGGAAGCATCTTGAGGACAGGGGCTGTTCTGTTTTGGTTTTTGTCTGTGTATCTCTCCAGCACCTTGCACATTGTTTTGTATATAGTAGGAGCTTAACGTGTTTGCTGAATTGAATTGAGGAGGAAAGAAGTTGAAAGTAGGGAATGAGCACAGTAATGGGAAGAGTTGAGATCTGACCCAGAAAATCACTAAAGCAGTAAAAGGGCAGCGGGAGATTTGAGGGTCACCAGAAAAACCTACAAAAAGCTTTTATCATCCTCAACTATATTTTTTGTGAGGAAGTTGCTTCATAGGCACTTCAATCCAGATAAATTGGTGTTACTGAGTAAATAAATTCTATTTGTACTTGGAAGCCTTCTGGCAAACCACCAGATCATAAATCCAGACACATTAGGGCTTTTTCTTCCATTCAGGAGTGATATTTCCCCCTCTAAAAATCGATATTATTAGACCTGCTAAATCTAGAGAGGGGTTAAATTACTGTCTTATTACATCTAGGAAGATATACTGGGTTATATGACTGGATGTAAAGTTATGTGGGCAGACAAAAATCAAGGAACAGAATGTCTGAGGTCCTTTACTTATGCCCATTTCAGAGAGAGTTTTTGACTGAGGAAGACTTCAACCTGCCTGTGACTCTGTAGATGTCTTAGAAAGTCTGAAGCTCAGAGAGGGTTAGGGACTTGCCCATGGTCACACAGCTAATAAGTGTCAGAAGAGGGATTTGAATTTCTGCCTGCATGATTCCAAGCCTAGCACTCTATGCATTACATCATATTTCTTCTGTTGTCACAGTCAAGAGATTAAAATGAGTACCGTGAAAAGGCAATGTGTCTTAGTGGACATATTGGTGATCTAGAAGCCAGAAAGACATAGTCAATGAATTCTGTCTCACCTCTTATATATACTAGTTGTGTGACTGGGCAAATCTCTTAACTTCACAGCCAACTTCTAACTGAAATTTAATACTTTCTTCTATTATGAATGCAAACAACAAATATTATTCTATAGCACAAGTCTACCAAAAAGGTACATGATACAGAAAAGGTTAAGAACCCCTGCTATAAGTTGAAGAGAAGGTGCCAACCTGCTATGGTAGAGAAAGTCTTCATCCAGAGAATTCCCTGTAACAAGGAAATCATGGGCCCAGTCCCTATCCCCTATCCCCTGAGGTCATAGGATAATAAAAGAGGCTATTTATACTCCATTAAAGTCATTTGCATACAGATAACTCACATCTTCAGATAAATATAGTATTTCTCTTTTTTAAAAACTATTTGCATTATAATCACCTTAGGAGCTTTAATTATGTGACTAACCAAGAAACCTGCATCCTTTTTGTTTGGTCTTTTCCTAAGGATTATCTATTACAAATGCAAAGCAATTCCTGAATGTGGTTTTTCTCCAAGTTTGTAATGTTCTTTGGGCAAAGGAGAACATGTGTTTAAATATTAAAAATACTTTTGTGTGGTAGAATTTAATTAGGAATCACACACAAATCCATCTATGAACACAGACCTGGTCTTTCAGCTGGCCCTTGAACCAAGGATTAGCGAATTTATCTGTGCATTAATATAAACACCAACTAAGAATATTAAGAATTTTGTATATATCTACCCTTTGGAGGCATGTAGTATGAATCCCCAATTTTCATATTATTAAAGAAAGACTGGTAGAGTGCCTGGGAAGGAGTCCTTTTCATTTAAAAAAAAAAAAAAAAGGCGGCCTGGGAGCCCAGGCAGGGGAGGGAGTTTTTTTTTCCAAAAAAACTGGTTATCACACCTTCACTATAAGATATCTTGAGAGGTAGCACTGCATAAATAGTAGATAGTGAGTTGTCCTCTGAGTCAAAATGTTTTGACCTGGATTCAAGTCCTCTGCCTGATACATATTGGCTGTGTGACCCTGGGTAACTTGTTTAATCTCTTAGCATCCTAGGTGTCTCTCTAAGACTATATATACCTCCTCCATTTTGACACAAAAGTTGGTATGCAATGGCCTGCCTTTCCAGGCCAAGGATATAAGTTTGGTTCATGACCATGGAACTGAACAAAGCTACCTGGAGTCTATGGGGATCATACCCATATCATAAGACAACATGGCAGAAGCTCATTGGACTAAGATAAGGAGACCTAAGTTTTAGCCATTTGTTTGTTCACTCACTTGTGCAAAAGCTATTTACTGAGTTGCCTACTCAGCAAACGTAACTGCTGGGTCCTGAGGGAATACAAGAGCCCTCTGTCTTTATCATACTCCCTACACCCTAGAAGCTTACAGCCTAGGAAAGGAGATGAGACATGTATATAACTATGCTATCAAACTGCACCTGTTTAGTTAGTTATAAGTGGTACAGATAACAAGTGCTTAGCACTTAAGACCCTCCACAATAATTGCAAACTACCTTTCCAACCCTAATTCATATATTACTCTCTCTTTCAAGAGGCTGGAGCTAAAGGCCTGGAGTCAAGAAGGCCTGAGTTAGGGGGCAGGTAGGTGGTGCTACAGATAGAGCACCAGCCCTGGATTCAGGAGTTCAAATCCAGCCTCAGACACATAACACTTACTAGCTGTATGACCATGGGCAAGTCACTTAACCCCATTGCCTAACCAAAAAAAAATTATATTAAAAAAATAAATAAAATTTAAAAAAAAAAAGAAGGCCTGAGTTGAAATCCAGCCTCAGAC